TTTCTGTCTTTTATTATGCCCATCTTTGCATGAAATATTCCCTTGGTATCTCTAATTTTCTTGAAGAGATCTCTAGTCTTTCCCATCCTGTTGTTTTCCCATATTACTCTGCATCAATTGCTGAGGAAGGCTTATCTCTCCTTGCTATTCTTTGGAACTCTGCATTCAAATGGGAATATCTTTCCTTTTCTCCTCTGCTTTTTGCTTCTCTTCTTTTCACAGCTATTTGTAAGGCCTCCTCAGACAGCCATTTTTCTTCTTTGCATTTCTTTTCCATGGGGATGGTCTTGATCACTGTCTCCTGTACAATGTCACAAACCTCCATCCATAGTTCATCAGGCACTCTGTCTAAGAGATCTAGTCCCTTAAATCTATTTCTCACTTCCACTGTATAATCATAAGGGATTTGATTTAGGTCATACCTGAATGGTCTAGTGGTTTTCCCTACTTTCTTCCATTTAAGTCTGAATTAGGCAATAAGGAGTTCATGATCTGAGCCACAGTCAGCTCCCAGTCTTGTTTTTGCTGACTGTATAGATCTTTTTCATCTTTGGCTGCAAAGAATATAATCAATCTGACTTGGTCAGACACAGAGGAATGTATATGGATATAATTTGAAAACAAGTAAGAATAATGTTATTAGCCATGATTTTATCTGTAGTTCAAAGTTAATAAAAAGAATGTTTTCTCTGTATCTACAGGCTTGGTGAGAAGATGTATTTGCTTTGTATTCAGGAAGGTTCTTCCTGCCCTCCTGCTGTGTCCACATTCTGACTTTCAAAGAAGGAAAAGAAAAAAGAAGATGCAATCAAGTAGTGTTACATGCAAAACACACTCCTGAGATCATATCAATATTTCTAAATAGTAGTAGTGATATTCTCTGAACTGCATTCTACCTACTTCTCTATGTTAAAGTATTTCAAAAATTTAAAAAAAAATTTACCATAGCAATAAATTGATCTCTCAAGCAAATACTGGATATCCCATTTTATTTATTTCCTTGGCTGTAATAACAAAGTAACAAAGTTGGTGGCTAAATTTATAATAATTTATGTCTTCACACTATATTTGACAGAGTTCTGATGGGTGTAGAGTATAATTGTCTTTGTGGTTTTTCTAATCCCTTATGATTATACAGTGGAAGTGAGAAATAGATTTAAGGGAGTAGATCTCTTAGAGTGCCTGATGAACTAAGGGACAATCTTCAGTTTCCAGAGGTTTGCACACAAGAGAGTGGCCTAGTGTTGGATCAAAGACAGTCGCAGAATACAAAAGGAGAGTCCTCAGGCTCAGATGCTGATGAAAGAATCAGAGAGTGAGAGAAGGAAGTAGATACTGAGTTGCTTGTGTCTGTGCTATCTCCTTAACCGCATTTTCACTCTCCACTTACACACTCCACTGTGTGAAAGATGCCTGAAAATGAACAACTCCGATACGGAACTTTTTGTTGTGCCCCTCCCACATTTCAGTTCATTTCACTGCTTAGCTGTTCAGATTTAATACATAACAAAATCCTTGAGTTTGTTTCCACTGATCTTCACTTTTTATATATGACCCATATATATCTTTGGGATTGGAATGAAAACTGACCTTTTCCAGTCTTGTGGCCACTGCTGCATTTTCCAAATTTGCTGGTATATTGAGTGCAGCACTTTCACAGCATCATCTTTCAGGATTTGAAATAGTTCAACAGGAATTCCATCACCTCCACTGGCTTTGTTTGCAGTGATGCTTTCTAAGGCCCACTTGACTTCACATTCCAGGATGTCTGGCTCTAGGTGACTGATCATACCGTTGTGATTATCTGGATTGTGAAGATCTATTTTGTACTGTTCTTCTATGTATTCTTGCCACCTCTTCTTAATATCTTCTGCTTCTGTTAGGTCCATATTATTTCTGTCTTTTATTGTGCCCATCTTTGCATGAAATGTTCCCTTGGTATCTCTAATTTTCTTGAAGAGATCTCTAGTCTTTCCCATCCTGTTGTTTTCCTCTATTTCTTTTCATTGATCACTGAGGAAGGCTTTCTTATCTCTCCTTGCTATTCTTTGGAACTCTGCATTCATGGGAATATCTTTCCTTTTCTCCTCTGCTTTTTGCTTCTCTTCCTTTCACAGCTATTTGTAAGGCCTCCTCAGACAGCCATTTTTCTTCTTTGCATTTCTTTTCCATGGGGATGGTCTTGATCACTGTCTCCTGTACAATGTCACAAACCTCCATATATAGTTCATCAGGCACTCTGTCTAAGAGATCTAGTCCCTTAAATCTATTTCTCACTTCACTGTATAATCATAAGGGATTTGATTTAGGTCATACCTGAATGGTCTAGTGGTTTTCCCTACTTTCTTCAGTTTAAGTCTGAGTTTGGCAATAAGGAGTTCATGATCTGAGCCACAGTCAGCTCCCAGTCTTGTTTTTGCTGACTGTATAGAGCTTCTCCATCTTTGGCTGCAAAGAATATAATCAATCTGATTTCGGTGTTGACCATCTGGTGATGTCCATGTGTAGAGTCTTCTTTTGTGTTGTTGGAAGAGGGTGTTTGCCAAGACCAGTGCATTCACAGCATCTGGTCCCATCACTTCATGGGAAATAGTTGGGGAAACAGTGGAAACAGTGTCAGACTTTATTTTGGGGGGCTCCAAAATCACTGCAGATGGTGATTGCAGCCATGAAATTAAAAGACGCTTACTTCTTGGAAGGAAATTTATGACCAACTTAGATAGCATATTAAAAAGCAGAGACATTACTTTGTCAACAAAAGTCCATCTAGTCAAGGCTATGATTTTTCCAGTAGTCATGTATGGATGTGAGAGTTGGACTATAAAGAAAGCTGAGCACTGAAGAATTGATGCTTTTGAACTGTGGTGTTGGAGAAGACTCTCGAGAGTCCCTTGGACTGCAAGGAGATCCAACCAGTCCATCCTAAAGGAGATCCGTCCTGGGTGTTCATTGGAAGGACTGATGCTGAAACTGAAACTCTTGGCCTCTTGGATATTGTAAAGCCAAGGTACATCTAACTTGGACACCTTGATTTAAATTCTTTCAGTTAATTTCTCAGAAGAGGGATTATTGAATCACATGTTAGCCTTATTTTTAATTTTTTGAGGTAATTTCATAATATCTTCCTTAGGGGTTGCACCAACATATGTTTCTACAATACCCCAGAGCTCCCTTTTCTACAGTCTCAATCACATTTATTTTCTTTTTTTAACAGCCATATTAATAAGGCTTATTAGATATTAGCCTTCAATGTTCCTCCTCCAGTGGTTTGTGGTGATGTTGTCATATACTTTAACCCTACTTCAACACACACCACATATATTATTACATTTATTTTTTAAGTATTTACCTTTATAAGAGTTTTCAAACATAGATAATTGAGGCATTTCCTTTCCATCCCCATATTTACCATTTTCAATGTTCTTCTATTAAGGAGCTAAAGATTCCCATGTGTTATTACTTTACTTCTGCCTGAATGACTTTCATTAAATGTTACTTCTAAGGCTAGCATAATGATCATAAATTTGCTCAGGTTTGTGATCTGGAAAAGGTTTTTTGGTCTCCATTTTAGAATTATATTTTTACTCATAGAATTTGTTTGACAGATATTTTCTTTTCAGTACTTAAAATATTCCATCACCCTTTTCTGGCTTATTTTGAGAAATCAGTTAGCATTCAAGTACTTGTGGCCCTGTATAACACATGTATTTTTTTTCTCTAGATGCTTTCTTTTTAAAATTAGTAGAGGAATTCCCCAGAGGTCCAGGGTCTGTGCCTTCACTACTGAGGCTGGATTTGAGGTCAGGTTCTATCCTTGTCACCGAACTAAAATCCCATAATTCACATACCGCAGTAAAAAGAAAGAAATGACTAGGAAATCATTTGTTTATAATGTGTTTGATGTGGTCTTTTTGATGCTTTGCAGTCATAATTTGTTGTGCTCTTGATCTATGAGTTGCAGGTTTCCTAACATTTGGACATTATTTGTTCATTGATTTATTCAAATATCTTTTCTTCCTTCCCTTCCTCACCTTCAGCATAATTATATATGTATTGTATATGTGCTATATAAAACATATGGGTTCCTTTTGATACATTGTTCTTTTTCCTTTTAGGTGGGCTGCCGTCTATGGGGTCGCACAGAGTCAGACACGACTGAAGCGACTTAGCAGCAGCAGCAGCAGCATATATACTTTTATTCCTATAAATGCTATTTTTTCCAGAGTTATTTAACCAGCAGGATAAACCCAGTCCCTGATATGCAATCAGCCCCAGAAACTGAATTCCAGAGCAGAAGTCCTTTAATCTTCTCAAAATGCCTTTAAAATCCTGCATAATCGGGGTCTTTTTATTTCTCTGATCTCAGTTCCAAGAAAGATCTCAATTTAAACAATACCATCCTATTTGCTTTAACATCATTATTAAGAGTATTATTATTTTAGTATTGCAGTCATGCTCCCATCTCATGGTCTAGATTACTCGTCTCACAGCTGTCGACAACATTGACTTGTTTACTTCCTTCAAGTTTTTACTTTCTTGCTCAGCAAGACATTTCCTAACACATTAATACTGAATATTCTGTTTCTAGAAAAATTTCCTAACCCTTTCCTCTAATTCTATTTTCTTAGTATATATCACTATCAGACAAATGATTTATGACTTGGTCATCATGTTTTATCTTACCTTCCAGTTAATGTATAGTATACCTTCCATGAAGACTAAAATTTCTTTTTCTTCATGGCCCAATTCTATTTGGATAAAAGAGTTCCTGAAACACATTAGGCAATCAATAATTGCTTGTTAAATATACTACACTTATATTTTTTAAAGGGAAAATGCATTTACATAAACACTCTAAGGGATGTATTTTATAATATTTGCAGGCAATTTTGTAGCTATAGTCAAATCTGAATATGATCTAAAAATAAACATAAGGAATATTAAGTGCACTGTCTGTGAAAATATGAGGGAGGAACATTCTTGAGCAGAGGAAAAATGGAAATCAAAAACACATGAAACTTCATGGTGCTTTCAGAAAAGCTGCAAATGAGACAAAGAGTAGTAAAAAATGGAATCACAAATGTTTGTTGCGTGAAATTTGAATACCCTTGTATTATACGTTATAGATTGTCAATATTACCTTACTCAGAATAAGAAGCCAGAGAAAAGTATTGAGGCAGTTAAGTTGCCCGATACATCTATTATTTTTTTCAAATGTAAAACTGTTGTGGAAAATGTATTTTGGAACTGACAGATAAAGATCAGGTTTTAATTTATGAAATTAGAGATAAACTACATATCTTTATCCATGCAAGAAAGGATGAACTGACTTACAAAGGCAATGCATTAAAGACCTTTTGGAAGAAGTCATAAATAGGACATCTTTCCAAAAGCTTAGCCATCATTGTAAAGAAGCAATGGTTAGTGTGATTTATTGGAAGCAGAGAATGAAGAGATGGTACCTGAAAAACAAGTGATAATTAAAGATCATAGTTGGAGAAGGAAATGGCAACCCACTCCAGTACTCTTGCCAGGAGAATCACTGTAGACTGAGGAAATAAACAAGTGCAAACAAAACAAGCTAAGACATTTAAGAGAAAGAAACAACCACAAAAATAAAGTCTCAGAAAAGGAGAGGGAAGAAGATGGATACTTATAGTAGTAACTGGCCACTCATAAAAGCTTTTCCAGAATTCAAAAGTATTAAAAAGCACAGTTGTATGATTTCCAGTCTCTTTGAAATTAGCAGCAACAGCTAAGAATCAAAGGGTGGCTGCTGAATGCAATGAATTCTGTCTGCAAAATTAAGAATTGACTGAACTCCATGCCACTCCAGGTATTCAGGGTAGTTGAGGAACCACAAAGTTGGTTTAAGTCAGGTCAACTCCACTGTGGAAGAAAAAATGATCTGATGAAGTAGCTCCAAAGGTGAAAATAATTTGCTGGCAGCAATTAAGAACAGATAGAGTCAGA